CGGAATACGAAATTCCACCCGTTACACCTCGACGTCCGCCGTTCCACAACTTTTTCAAGGCAAATTTTGCCACGCACCACCACTTCGTGGAACCAGCTGCCCACTGAAGTATTTCCGAACCAATTCGACTCAGGGTCCTTCAAGAAAAGAGCGTACCAATTCTTAAAAGGCCGGCAACGCACTCGCGAGCCCTCTGGCATTGAGAGTGTCAATGGGCGGCGGTATCACTTAAGGTGAGCCTCCTGCCCGTTTCCCCCTGTTCTATTAAAAAAAAAGACGTGTGGCACTCGGGGACTGCTGCGGTAAAGCTATTGCATAATTTTTTTTTCAACTTAAGCAATTATAATTATTTATTTGTGCAGTATTTTTTTTTCTTTGATATTAATTCATGTTTTTTCTTTGATAAATTAATTCAATCTACTACCAGACTCAGACTAAGGCGGCCCCTAGGCCTACAATAACATTGTACAATATATTTAATTGTGCAATAAGATTCAATTGCGTTTTGAATCCAAACGGTCAATTATATTGCACAATAATAAGAACAGTGCAAATTGTGCAATGTTTTCTTGTTCAGTCGGAGAATAGTTTGATCCCGAGCAACATCTCCACACAAGATTTAGCTGCAGCTGTAGTGTTATTGCTTGTGGCTAAGCGTAAACGTAAACGAAAACGTCGTTGGTCGAAAGATTGGTACACGAAAAGGCCAAAATACACTCACGAAAATCTCTTAAAAGACTTGAGAAAAAAATACAAACATGGCTAAACAACGATAAACTCTCTTTCCTTAACTTTCGTATTATCTTTTTCTGCCATTTTTGGGAAGCGTGCACGCGTGTGTCCTCCTTGCCGACGAAACACAGACTAAAAAATATTGCGCAATACTGACCCTACACGACGCAATGGAAAAATATGGTGCAATAAAAATTAATCTCGCTCAAACTTTCGTTCAATCATTAAGCAATCTTCAATATTACCCCTAGACGATTAATTATATTACACAATTTTCAATATTGCGCATATATAATTGATCGTCTAGGAGCCGCCTAACTCGCCTATATAGTCTGTCTCACTCTAACGCGCACCGGCTGCACCGATCTCGTCAGAGAGATGTGAATACGCAGTATGCGTTCTGTCCCGCTCTAACGCGTAAGGTTTTTTCGTTACATTTCTGGATTCGGTCTCCACGCTCGAGGCCCGCGATAGAATCTATGCAATAGCTTAAAAAATTGAAAAAATTGATAGAAAAAAAAGCTTATTTTGCGTGTTTTTGATTTATATTAGGTAGGCATTTCATCAAAAAACAATAATATCACTGACCAAATCTCACTTTGCTTCAAAGTTACTTATTACCAACTTAATATTCTTATGTTTTTCCAAGTCGATTCAAAATGTAGAAGAGCTTAGACAGAGAATAGCGGAAGCAGTAGAATTTGTGAATAATGGACGATTTGCCCGCTTCATTTCACGATCTTTTTAAGGAGATGTCGAGCCTGTATTGCAGCTGAAGGACGGCAATTTGAACATCTTTTATAAAAAAAGTAATAAATCTAATCATAAAAAAGGAACTGTCTATTTTACTTATTTGCGTCCGTATGTCATAAGCGTCACTATCTGTCTCGCTCACATTTTATGGAATGTCTCTCTCCATCTTATTTAAACCACGCTGTGGTCATTAGGAACGTTTTGGGTGCGCTAGAATCATTTGTTGTAATTTCAAAGAGATTGTTAAAAACAGACTTTGTTTAACAAAAAAAAAATTCTTATGGCCGATCTAAGAAATAATGAAGGAATATTATACCACGTTAGAATCCTTATTAAATGCGCGAACTTTTAAAGCTGCTTGCCAAACTGGAGTAGTACATTTTTTTTTTTCAGGACGATCAGTTGAACTAGTGCGAAAAATTAATTTTGAAAACCTTGTACGGTATAAAATGACATATTCCTACAAGTTGGAGTGATCGGCACAGGGTTTAGGATCATAGGTTACATAAAGCACTATTCGGGATGACGTAAGAGAAAAAAAATTGGTGAAAAGTAAATATTTGTAACAACAGGAATGAAAAAACTGTCACATGGTGTACATTTTCTGGAATAAAAGGAAAATTTCCATAACTTCAAAAGTACATGACTTAATTTTTTTTTTAATTTTTCTGATAACTGGTGTGGCATTACCTATGAGAAAATTTCGACTTGACGTCGACTTTTGGGACACTCTGTATAAACGAACAACAATTGAGTGCTAAACTATAATTAAAATGAGATAATAATGAAGATAGCGAGCTATATTATGAATTAAAACCCTTCTGAACACACATATAAACAATGGCTGGTTGTAATTTTGGGTATGTATCGACTTTATTAATATATTACAAAACTCAAAGAGCGATATAACTATACGCTACTCTAGTATTTACTCAATTGGTCATATTCTATTATTTATATATCGACGGTCCCTACGTACACAGGGACATGTCAGAAATTGAGGTTTTATAGAAATTAATCTGTTCAATTTTTGATATTATTTTTTCCTGAAATGATTTATAATATATTTGAAGTTCATGATCCTATTCATCATTTGTATAAATATATATTATCATATATATAGATGACTGTTTCTACATTATAAATCTAATTTAAACGTGTCGGTCAAGTCTAAATTATCCGTTTATACGTAGGAGATTTCAAATCAATGCCATCAACTAGTTTTTATTCATTTTTTTTTTAAACGTGTACTAATGTTATTATAATAAAAGGTACGACTTGAATATTCTAAGATTTTTACCCTTTAAAGTAAAAAGTATACTTCTTTAGAGATATCTCTTTATACGTGGTTATTTTTATTAGTGAACGACTGCTTTAGGGGAATGTAAATAACGACATGTAGTGAATTAAAATAATAATCAGCATAATTTTTATTAATAAATAACATTTTTAACTAAATAGAATACATTTAGTTTTCAATACTATTCTTATCTACTTTTTTAAACAGGCATAATTAATAAGGAAACAAAATAGAAAATAAAGGAGCAATTGCTTCACAATCAACCCTCCTTAAAAGAGATTAACAATAAACCATTTTATTATTTTAATTATCCGATTATGTTCACAGTTTCATTCAGACTGATTAGTATTTAATTTATAAACTATTTATTATTATTTTTTCAAAATAAAATCAAAAATAAAATGAATTAGTTTCTAAGTTATCTAATTAATCATTTCCGTCATCACCCTGGACTTCCTTAGTATGATTAAGGTTTTTATAAAATTCATGATACTTTTGTGGCATTTTCATTGTATCATACAAAGTAATCAAGTGCTTGTACTTTGCTTCAGTTTGTGTTGTTTGTGTATTTCAAATTGTAGTCACAGATCAGTTTTCTATAATATCATATTTAAATTCTAAAACGTCTGGACAGCTTCCTTGAAATTTAACTTCTCTTGTTTCTGCTCCAAATAATTTTTTCAGAGTTCGTATCCTTTATCTAGTATTATGTAGTACGATGTAGCCATTCTTTGAAATTTAAAATTAAATCTTGATCTATTTCTATAACTGTATAGGGTGGGTCATTAACGCTTACTAAAACTTAAATAATCTAACCCAAGGTGTAAAAAAATAAACAAAAAACTTCCTTCAATCGTGTGCGCTGCGAAAACTATTAATGATAGAACAAAATGATGTACTACAATTTTTCAGGACACATCACTATCTATGTCGCGACAGCATGTCTCTATCTTTTATAGTTACGTCACAATAAGCGTCCTTTTATTAATTTTTTTTTAAATACCACCGCTAGAAAAGGCTCTTTATTCGTACCTAGGTATTGTATTATATCCTTATCAAAATAATTACCAACGTTTCACATAAGCTACAATTTAATGGCATAACCACCAAAAAAGCATGGTGGATTGGTGTTCTCTTGCCGTTTCTCTTGAATAGTTTACTACTATGTAATATATCAAAAATCTTAGCCACAGCAACGCTTGGCCGAGTTTACTAGTATACGATAAGTTTATTTAGTAAACCATAAAATATTTAAAAAATCTTACATACACAGACAAGATAAGGGAGTGTTCAAGTATTACGTCACGCAAGTTTTGGAGATTATTGACCCCCCCCTTCCCCTCCGTGTAAGGGGCCGTAACGTTTTTCTGTACCCAATAGTAATACGTTTCGTGACCACCCAGTGACTCTTTATAGCTAACAGTTACCATATGTGGTGTAAAGTACTGGAAAGTCGAAAATAATATTAACAATAACGCGTAATTCAATCTCCGCCCCTCGTCGTAACGTTTTACAAAAGGACCAAAAAATTCGTTACGTAATACTTGAACACTCCCTAAAGCCAAAAATGAAATTAAAACAAAATGAGAATTTTGACATGTCTTTATATTCGAGAGTTATCAGATATCTAGAAATTACAATAAAGACAATCATAAAAGCTGACTTAGCCGCTGAGCAGGCAGAAAATAATAAAGAGCTTAAATATAAGAGACTTTCCTCTAACTTTGACTTTGTTCTCTTTGGAGACTCTTGAGTAGAGACCGGGGGTTCAAGTGCATAGGCGATAATTAACCACTTAAGTAGATACCTGGTAAGGAGTACCGGTGAATAAGTATCACAGTACAGCAAAGATAATATGCTGCTAGCATTAAAGGTCCACAGCCACAGGGACCAAACTTTTTAAATTTGTGTCAATTTGCTCTTTATCAATTTTTAATTATTATTATTATAAAATATCAAGAAATAAAATTTGACATCTTTTTTTCAATGAATACAGAAGCTAATAAACAGAGACTTAGTTCTAATTGTCACTTCAGTATATTAAAAACGTATTTGTAATCAAACCTTCTAAATTATTCTGTCTTATAACACTATGTTGCTTAAGATTTTCTTACAGCATTTTAAAATGAATTTAATTGCAAATACCCCTTTCATGTGATTTTCAGCCAACTTCGCCTTATTCGTTTACGGAGCGGAGAGCAGCTGGATTTCACCCATGACAAAAATCCTCCAGACACCTGATTCACCAGCAGGAGAGCCTCTATCTGACTACGCGATATCATGGATAGCCAGCCTTATGTGTTTCGCGGCTATGTTGGGAACACCTATTTACGCATACATCGCGGATAAGTATGGAAGAAAGATTGCCGTAATGTGTCTTCTTTATCCACAGGCGGTAGGTATTACGTGGTGATTGATTGACATGATTCTACTATTCACTATTTAGTCCATTGAAATGTTACAATTTTAGGGCCAAACTGAACATTTGATAGAGGACGCAATTTTATTTATGGGACATGTAGGGTGGTGTCAATACAAGCTTAAACCCAAGTTTGTGGGGTTGGCGCCCTTGTCCCCCGGCCGCCACCTTGGAAGAAGGGGTGAAAACACGTTTTTGGCTATATCTCCTAAACTATCCATCGTACAAAAAAATATGAGGACATATTTTGTAGCAAATCGCTTTGCCTACAATTGTGTATGTGTGACTTTTTATCATAAAGCCAAAATTCAAAAAGATATAAATAAGAAAGCGAAAAATTTCCTATTTTTCTTTATAAGTTATATATTTAATTCTAAACAAATTTTGTAAATAACTCTATTTCAACATTTCAATGGACTAATACATCTAATAGCTGTAAATGAATATGTTCATTGTCCAGTTGTCTTAAAATAATGCTAGGGTCATTGGTAGATTCTATCGAATCGCGACTTAAGTTCGGTAGCGGATTTGTTCAGATGAATATTAAATGAAACACTTTGTTTGAAGCTGGATAACAACTGCCTTTAAACGTTAAAAATATGAGCTTATAACTAACATTAAATTAGGAGTAGTAGGGTTGCGACGCATAAATTCATAAAACTCTGTGACACTTCAATACAAGTGTACGACGTTTTTGTACATTATCGGAAACAAGAATGTTGTATTACAATTTATGAGTGTGGAAAAAACTCATTTTGACTTACTAATGTTAGGTTACATAACTCGCGATTGGACTACAAATTTCTAGAAACACGACATCGTTTTGTAATTACAGTCAAAACCGGTTATAACGACATTGAAGGGACCGTATACTTGCCGACGTTATATCCGATAGTCGTTATAAGCAATGTCATGTACACAAGTACAGTACATATGTATGTACATAGTTATCGATCTAGAATAGGTAGGTATGGGTTATAATATGGTATGTTAATATTATAATATGTAAACGAGTCAAAAAAGAAACAAAAATATTTATTACGAAATAATTAGATATAAAAGTAATCAGTCAGTCTGTTTTTTTTTTAGCCCAGTCTCAAATATTTTTTGCATTTTACGTTTCATACTCCTCAAGGTATGAGTATCACCAGTATCAAACTGTTCGTTAAAGGCAACAAATTTTTGCAAAATCGTTACAGCGTTAAGAGCTCGGAAATCGTTGTTGGCTGAAACTGTTCGTTGGGAGAAAGTGCGTAGGTAATAATGTGCCTAAATATTCATTCAATGCTTAAAAATAAAATTTAAAATCGTTTGTATTGTTTTGTTTTACTGAGACAAGAAGCGGTTGGTCGTTATATCCGATGAATATCGATAAACTTTCGTCGTTGTAAGCGATATGTCGCTGTATCCGATGTTGTTATAAGCGGTTTCTTTACTGAATAGTTTACTAGGGATTCGGACGGGACCATACAATCTGGTTGTAATAACCGATAGGTCGTTGTAAACGATGTCGTTATAAACGGGTTTGACTGTATTTAAATCAAATTACCATATTCTTTCCCTTTTCAATTTTGAATTTTGGTAAATAATAGGAATTGTTTATAAAGTTGTGCAGGTGTGGACTGTTTTTACGCCACAATGCGCAAGAGAGCTGTATCTCTGTTAAGGCGCGTGCGTAGTCTAACAGCATGCTAGCGGTAATAGCGGGAAGGTTGGATTGCCCTTACATGGGTCATTGCAATGGACTGCATGTGCCCTTTAATTTTATGATTTAATATACTTTAAAGCTTACTTACTAATATATTTAGGACAATATTGTACCTAACACAATAATCACCATAATATGGACTTATTATAATAATTATTGTTATGGTATTGTTTCAGATGTCATGGGCACTAAAACTATACCCGACAACAGTAACTCTAACCTTATCAAGAATATTCGGCGGAATACCCGCAGGGGGTTGTTTTAATGTTGTCCCAATGTACGTGAAAGAAATTAGCCAGGACAGTATACGTGGTGTTTTAGGTTCACTCCTTATTCTGTCACAGAATCTAGGAGTTTTGTTCATGTATGTTATTGGAGCTTACTTAGATTACTACACGGTGCAATGGGCAATGCTGGGGTTACCAATTGTAGCATCAGTGCTGATGTTTAAAGCCCCAGAAGCGCCTGCGTATCTGGTCAAGCAAGGTAAAATAGATGTAAGTAGCTATCAAGATTTGATTTGTGTTCGTTCATTGAAGGTTTAATTTAATTTAATTCGATCAATTTATCTAGTTTTATTTATCCTTAATCAGAAAAGGAAGTAAGTAAGTAATTTTTATACTTATTTTAAACGACCAAGTTCTAACTTAGTTTTTAAATTATGAGCAAATAGCTAAAAGTACGAAAAATAAGTGATGAAAACTTTAAAATTCAACATTCAGGCGTTATTTTTAGGAAGCAATTGAAACAGTGGCTTCACTCAGAGGCCTGGACAAAAGCGACAAGACAGTGCAAGATGTAGTTGATTGGATGAAAAAGGAAGAGGAGGAATCCAATAAAACGCCAGATATCCCAATAACAAGTATCTGTAAGTATGTTGTAAAAATATCTATTGTGTCCTCCTGCTCCTAAGAGTTGCTGCTGGCACAGGACTAGACACGCTACAAGAGACTGACGGCCATCCTCCAGTAATGGATAGGTACTACTAGAAGTACCAGGCGTATCACCTTGACGTCCGTCGTTCCACAACTGAGCATCTTAATATCTTATCTTGAGTCTTCTACCGCATTTACCATGGAGAGTGTTCAGAGGAGTTGTTCGGATTAATACCTGCAGCTGAGTTTCGTCATCGGACGTCGAGGCAGAGTACGAAATTCCACCCGTATCACCTCGACGTCCACCGTTCCACAACTGAGCGTTTTTCAAGGCAGTTTTTGCCGCGCACCACCACTTTGTGGAACCAGCTGCCCATGAGTTATATATTTTATTATTTTTTCAGTGATTGACAAGAAATGGCGACGCAGTATCATAATAATCTTCGTAGTAACAACGTTGTATGGTTTTAGTGGCGCCTTTTCAATAACAGTCTATGCTTTCACACTTCTATCATACGCAGGGGCTGACTTTGAAATAAGCCCAGAAGTGCAGTCGTTTAGTTTTCCAATAGTTATGATCAGTGCTTCGTTTGTTCTCGCTTTTACTATAGAGAGAGCTGGTAGAAAGGTAATTAGTATTAAAATAGTTTATTTACAGTAAATATCATCAGTATTCGTACAATTTATCCAGTATTCCTACTATATAAGTCTAATTGCAGTTTTAACGAAAGTCTACTCTTACGTCTCTTTCTGACTAATTGTGCTTATGCTGTGAAGAAATGGAAGAAGTATTTCAGTTAAAACGGCACAATTAGACTGATATTTAATAAGGGTCTTCATGTGGGGTTTTTAGGTTAGATACTTGTTATACATTCATGGATAATAGACTATAGGACTTTTAAGGAAACATCTACTTTTTAACATTGAACAGTCGAAACTTTTTAATATTGGAAACGACTGATATTTTTATACTTATATCTCACATCATAGATTTGGACCCCAGCTGTTTACAAATTAGGGAAACATCGTGAAAGAACCGTCTTTTACCTAATAAATCCACTGCTTATGTCAGGTAGTGTTGGCCTAGTAGCTTTATCGTGCGACTCTCATCCCTGACGTCGTAAGTTAACATTCGCTCAAACGGTGAAGGAAACATCGTAAGGAAACCGGCTTGTCTTAGACTCAACGCCGACAGCGTGTGTCAGGCACAGGAGGCTGATCACATACTTGCCTACTAGATTGACAAATTATTATGAAACAGATACAGAAATATGAGGCGCAGACCTAACCGGACGGAAAGAAAGACGGAATCTTTGTTCATCAGACGTTTATAATTCTTTCAGCCCATACTGGTCGGAGCGTATATAGCATCGGCCATATCGTTTTCAGTTATAGCTACATCTTTCCTCATTAAAAATAATGGTGGTTCAGTGCCCGGTTGGATACCACTGTCGATGATGATTTCATGTGTTTTCTGCTTCGCTGGAGGGATTGCGTCTATAATATTTATATTGATTCCCGAAATGTTTTCCTTTCAAGTAAGTTATAAAGCTTTAAGCTTTCTTTAGTATTGAAAGTAGCAAATTCTGGTCAAAACTCATGAACCATTAAGGCTATGTTCACAAGTCAACGTCAACGCGCGATCGAATTTGAAGAGAGTTCAGATGATGAGCGCTAATGCGCGTTGCGAGAGTACTCGTCAGTCTAGTTCGGTAAAACGTAGAAAATGGACGTGGAAGAGGCTATTATTTTGTGGTTATATTATAAAGAAAAATACAGAAAAAGAAAACGTACACATTGGGTTCATCCAATTTTGAAAAAAAAATACAAATGATATTATATTTTTTATACAAATTTGCTATATTCCAAATTGCTGGCCTTTTTTCTACTTCATCGATTAGTAAGTCGATGTCAATATCTTCAATTTCACTCATTTTAAATGCGAGAACATAATATAATTACGAAAATTAACAAAATTACATGCGATCGCGATGAAAGCGCGCGCTCAACTGAACAGCATACGGACATTACTTTAATATCAAAGCGCGCGTCAACGCGCGATCACCTGCGTCTAGAGACTTTTTCTCTGAGCGCCGCGTTGACGCGCGCTCATGTGAACAGTTGTATGAAAATACCACAATGTCTAGTCGCGCGATTTGAAAACGCGCGTCAAGTTTTTGCCATCTGAAATCCTCATGAGTTTGATTAAAATTTTGTTCGATGTTTGTTGATGTGGGTGTCATGAAATAATCAATATACGATATGTGTACTTTTTTTAAGAAACAATAAAACCTTTTTTTCAACAAAAAATATATATGAAATAAAAATACTAGTAATTTTTTGCTTATGCTTAACACACTTTTACTTTTTTAAACAACGATCGACTTGATGTCTTGTAACCCTAACTATCCCAAGCTATACCTAAGTTAACTCTGGGTTTAGGTATAAAACTGTATTCCCCTTTTTTCTTTCTTTCTTCTCGAGTGTTGTTAGTGTAGCCAAGTTTTTTTTAAATTGTCTACTCACATAGGACATCACAAACTAGCCTCTTTTAACTTTAACCTAAGACATTCTCGGTGAAGCGGAAAGGTTAAAAATAAAGTACCTATATTACACAAAACAAATTAAATTTTACATAGTAGCCTTACTACCTAATTTGAGCATTCAAAACCACCATTCATACACACAAAATCACATGAACATTATACCTAGTCATAAAAACACTCTTCTACATAAATACAAATTACACACCTGCCTATGGATATTAAATGTTATTAAAAATACATACATTTGCGCCGGTTAAAACCTCAATATTCTGTGCTTAAACATCTCGGGTCTTTATCGCTAGTACTATATATATGCATACACTTCTATACCTTCATACATAGTAACAATGATTACAAATAACCTAAGTTTGTTTTATCAAAATGTCCGTGGATTGCGCACAAAAACATTAGATTTAAAACAGAACATACTCATGAACGACTTCGATATTATTCTAATCACCGAGACTTGGTTAACTTCTGGCTTTTACAATACTGAATTATGTGATGACCGATATGATGTGCTCCGTCTCGATCGGAATTCTAAAAATTCTACTAAAACGTCGGGCGGCGGTGTTATGTTATGTACGAAAAGGTCACTGCATGCGCAAGAGATGGCCGAGTGGACGTGCGACGGCGTTGAGTGTACCTGGTTGACTATTCCCGCTAGTACGCTCGCGTCGAATGAATGCAATAAACGCGATCTACATATATGTATTGCATACATACCACCTGACGATTTGCAGTCTGTAAGACTTACAGCGTTTACAGACTTTCTCCTATATATTTTCTCATTACACCCAAATGATCATTATATCATAGCTGGCGATTTCAATCTACCCCACATAGGCTGGTCTCCAACCTTTGATCCCACCTTCCTTAGACGTGGTACTATAAACCTACAAAATGCGGGTGCAAGGTTTGTTGAATCATGCAGTAGTCTCGGCTTCAGTCAGTACAATTTGCATAAAAACTCTTCTGGAAATATACTAGACCTAATATTTAGTGACACATACATCGAGGTGTCTAAATCTTGCAGTTATCTCGTTAAAGAAGATCCAAGCCATCCATGTCTGGAACTGAAAGTGTCGGAATTGATGACGCCTAGTATTAAATTAAAAAAGGAGATAAGATATAACTTCAAGAAGGCTAACTACGATAAATTAAATGAATATCTTAACGGTATAGACTGGAATGACTCTCTAAGAGGCGACACCATTGACATAATTGTGCAGAAATTTTATTCAATCCTCCACCGTGGAATTGATCAGTATGTGCCTAAGACTACCTTTTATGCTCATAACAAATACCCGGTCTGGTATACTAAGGCGCTCATACACATAATACGCGACAAACGAACCGCTCACTCTCGATGGAAAGCAAAGGAAACCCACGAGATTACGATGAGTTTTCCTTACTTCGTTCAAGACAGAAGGCAGTCCAAAAAAAATGTTTTAAGTTATATAATTATGCAAAAAATACAAACATCGTTAAAGAAAGATCCAAAGAAAATCTGGTCATATCTAAAAACCTTACGAATTAATAACACTGGCTATCCAAATAGATTACAATTAGGAAGCAATATAATTATATAATAACGAATCGGAAGCATGCACGGGATTCAGTACTTTCTTTGAGAGCGTATTTCAACAAGCAGCACCTTCATACCATGAAATTCTGCAGACTAATACGGAAGTAACCGACAACATTATATGTAAACTAAATATAACCAAATTTGATATATTAAAGATACTAAATTCATTAAATGCGGAAAAAGGAGCTGGGTATGACGGTATACCACCTATTTTTATAAAAAAATGTGCCAAGCTATTACAGAACCACTGTACATAATACAGAACTTATCCGTGAACACATTTGGCATTTATCCTGATGTATGGAAGATAGCTAAAATAATACCTATTCATAAGAGTCGCTCGCGGTTGAGTATTGAAAATTATCGACCAATATCGATACTTAATACTTTCAGTAAAGTCTTTGAAAAGATAATTTATAAAGCCATCCACAATATAATAAGTAATTCACTTCCCGATGAACAGCATGGTTTTATCAATAAACGTTCTACGATAACCAACTTAACCGTGTTTACGAACTATGTACTTCAAAGTATGGATGGTGGTGCACAGGTTGATGTAATTTACACAGACTTTGAGAAGGCTTTCGACAGAGTGGATCACACCATCCTATTACATAAGCTCCAACTTCTAGGGATACGTGGTGACCTTCATTGCTGGTTTTGTTCATATATAACAAATCGTAGACAGGCGGTTGCGGTTGGCAGTGCTAGAAGTGACTTTGTTCGTATAAGTTCTGGAGTTCCTCAAGGATCTATATTGGGTCCCCTGTTATACAATGCATATCTTTATGACATAAATAGTACCATTAAAGATTCAAATTACCTTATGTTCGCTGATGATAAAAAGATATATTTAAAAATAAACAAAGAAGGAGACTGTCACAAAATTCAGGCCGACCTAAATAACCTTTCCAATTATTATAGACAAAATCGAATATCGGTTAATACTTCCAAATGTGTCAAAATAACATTCACCAGAAAAAAAAAAACAAAATTAACTTTAGCTATCATATTAATAACAAATCTGTAAAAGAAGTAGATTGTGTTCATGACTTAGGTATATGGTTAGACTATAAAATGACGTATAATAACCATATTGACACAATAGTTGACAAGGCCTATAAGCAGCTTGGTTTTGTAAGACGTGTTAGTGAACATTTTCATGATGTCGACTGTATGAAAGTGCTATACTATACATACGTAAGAAGTATTCTCGAATATGGTTGCTCGGTTTGGTCACCTAGTTACACTGTACACAAAGAAAAAATTGAAAAGACTTCATAAAATTTATCTCCTATAAGACCTACAATAAGTTTAATACATATAATGACGCGTGTGAACATTTTAAAATTAATACTTTAGACTCTCGACGAAAACAATATGATTTATTGCTACTACATGACATCATCTCAAATAAAATTAATTGTAGCTCCCTTCTAGAAAAATTGCCCTTCCTTGTTCCTGCCTACCAGACTCGTAATCGTGCTTTGTTCCATGTTCCTCACATTAACACTAACTATGCAAGGAACTCAGTTTTGTATCGCGCAGCCCGGACATACAACGACCAATATTTAAGCCTTGACCTGTTTAAGCTGTCGCGGAATATGATTAAAAGAAGTATTAAGAATATCCATAGCGCAAAATCACCTGCATCATGAGCATACCCCACATACACACCTTCACGTACTTACCCTCACTTTTACACCATCATACAACACAACCAAATTAGGTACCACTTAGATAAACGTATTGAATAGTTTTTATTTGTTTGTTTCCTTTTATAAATTCTTGAACCATTTTTTAGTTAAATGTATTATTATGTATTCCATATTTGGCTATATTTTTAATGTAACTGTTTGTTATTGTATATAATTTATGTTAGCTGTAGGTTTACAAAATAAATAAATAAATAAATAAGTAAAAAAAACTTCCGCTTCATGTGGAATGTTTAACAACACTACTTTACAGTTATTAAGGGGAAGTTCTCGCCGTCTATTGCTTTCTACTTACCACTGCCTAGCGGTGTGCTATGAAACTAAGTAATAATAACAAGCTTTTTTCAGATTTGCGGGAAAATAATGGGCGTTTTCGTAACATATATTTGGTTTATAGAGTTTCTCCAACTGCTTCTCTATGCACCAATAAGAAAACTATTTGGTTACGATATACTTTTCTACTTATATGCCACTATCAATCTCGTCAGTGGAGTTTTTACTTTAATATTTATTGCGGAAACAAGGGGAAAAACGGAGCAGGAGGTCCAGAATGCAATCAATTCAAAGCGGCTGTATAAGAAATAGTTGTAAATTTTTATTAAACTCGTAATAACCATCTAGAATGTTTTATTTTATTATTCCGTATCCTTGATGACCTTCAATCGTTCTCGGCCGGTATCGGCCTCAGATCGTATGACTACATAACATTTATCTGTTTACAGAAACAGTACTTCTTATACTGAGGGCATCTTTAAAACTAGTAATCTAAATGTAAACATTAGGCTATACTACTATAACAGCAAGTCTTTGATAAAATCAAGATATTCTAAATGAGATGAAGATCTTATAAATGAAAGGTATTTCAGGTTAAGTTGGTATTTCCAAATTTTTTCAGCCACCCTTAGAAACAGATTTTTACTCGTGAACAAAAAATATAGATAATGATGTCTTAATTTAAATTTTTGTTTAATTGTTAGTTATATTTTATCAAACTTGAAGGATTGTTACTGACAGAAAATTAACAAGAAAAATACAGCTTATTACGAAATAAAAGCCTGGTATAAACCAGGCTTTTATTCCAGTTAACCAGTTTATAAAAACTAGACTAGTTTTGATGGGACTCATCATTTTGAAACATAGCGTAAAAAATAATAGTAGCGTAACTTAAGAATAAAAACTTGATCTAGGTAGAAAAAATTAAAACGGCTTTTCTGGCTCACCTAGGTGGGTGTAAAACGGGGAAGGTCACTAAAGAATTATCGCACCGACTCCAAATTTTGTCAACCGTCTTCGCCATATTCTGAGTATCTACTGGGCCGAGAAGATATCTAAGGAGGTTGGAAACAGCAGCGTTTCCAAAGAGACCCCGATTAGCCAGCAGATCAAGCGACGCAAGTGGACATGGATAGGCCATACACTCCGAATGAATTCCAATCATATCCCCAAACAGGCGCTTGATTAGAGCCCGCAAGGAGAGCGGAAGTGTGACCGACCCCAGCCACGTTCTGTCCTGGCGTCGTACAGTAGCACATGAGGCACAGAGACCCGGAAAGACTTGGAGCGAGGTGAATACGAGGCTTAAGACCGAACTCAATGGAGATCGTGGACGCCCTCTCCCCCAACTAGGGTTATAATAAATTTAGTCACGTTCCGGCACACCCTGAATCGTAATGTTATTGAAATAAAAAAATAACACGAGAATATTATCGCTTTAAGTATATAATATAAGTCAACAATTTTTATATTGTGTTAAACTGAAAATTAAATGTAAGAACGTTATCATTCAATATGTTTATTTTGGTTTAATATGAAAGGCAAATAGCAAGGTCTTATCATGTATGATGAAATGTTGACTAGAATTTTAGAGACATTTTTGACTTACTTATAAACAAATTTTACTTTTGTGTTACGCAGGTGGTTTAACAATCTGCTGCGGTTGTCATTAAATTGCAGCAGGAGGCCGCAGATAGAGGTGTTACGTATGCGGGTATATTAAAAAAGGCTAGGGACAATGTCGTATTAGCTGACTTAGGCGTGACTGAAGTCAGAATTAGAGAGACTGCAACAGGAGCCCGAATTATTGAGATACCCGGAAGTCAAAGTGCAGAAAAGGCTAGCCAACTTGCTGAGAAACTTCGCAACGTTCTTGCAGAAGAGGTTAGGGTGGAAACGCCGGTGAAGCGAGCAGCTCTTCGAATTGGGGGACTGGATGACTCTGTGTCTGTCCAAGAAATCATTGCAGCAATAGTGCAAAGGGTGAATGTGAGGTGGATGTGATAAAGGCGAGCGCTCTTGTAAGGGGCCAGGGTGGAAACAATATAGTTTTTGTACAATGCCCAGTCACTGCAGCTAAAAAGTTACCGAAGGTCGTTTGCTTGTAGGTTGGAGTTCAGCTCACATTCAGGTGTTAGAAGATGGCCCTCTACGATGCTATAAATGTCTAGGTTTAGGCCATATTAGTGTGAAATGTCCATCAGATGTGGATCGTAGCACTTTATGTTTCCGATGTGGAAAGAATGGACATCAATCTGCAACATGTACAGCGGCTGTTGCGCACTGTGCTGTCTGTGGCGATGCTGGTAAGCCAGCGGACCACATAATGAGAGGAAGAAAATGTAATCCTCCTATTGTAAAGGCAAAGATGGTGCATTTGGCTAGAGGGATCAGCACTATAAATCAGGCTTTGCCTCGGGAGGCTGATATTATGTCTCAATAATGGGTAGTAGGGCACATATTAACTTTCTGCAGGCGAATATAAATCACTGCGCTAGGGCACAGGACCTTCTCCTGCAGACTAGGGCTGAATGGTATATTGATATTACTGTTGTCTCGGAGCCATACTTTGTACCTTCACCATCTCATTGGTTAGAAGATTTAAGTGGCCTCGTCTGTATAATTGCTCGTCCTGGTGGATATCCTCTTATTTTAAAGGATCGTGGTATATGTTATGTTGTGGCTGAGTGGAACGGCCTCATAATAGTTGCTGTTTATTTTTCTCCAAACAGAGAACTATCGGAGTTTCTTACTTTTCTGGACAACTTATGCCTCCCAATCCAACGAGCACAATTGCCAGTAATAGTATTAGGCGACTTTAATGCCCGATCTCAAACATGGGGTGATAGCCTCACTAATGATAGAGGAAAAGCTGTAGAGGAATGGTATACAGAATTGGGACTTTTTCTGCTAAATAGAGGGAACGTTCCAACCTGTGTGCGGGCGCAAGGGCAATTCTTGGTAGATCTAACATTTTCTTCACCAAGTCTAGCCTCCTCGGTGCAAAATTGGAAAGTTGCGGAAGATATTGAGACTCTGTCGGACCATCGCTATATTAGGTTCAATATTTTTAAATCCCAGAGACGGTATGAAGTGGGTGTTAATAGACAGGCATTCCCACGCTGGGTTCTCAGCAGTCTAAATAAGGATCTAGCAGAAGAGGCGGCTATTGTACAAGCCTGGTGTGCTCCCGCTATCTGGCCTACAGACGTTAATGAAGCAGCTAGTCGTCTTCGTCATGCGGCAAAAGCAATATCAAACTAATTAATAATAACTCCATCTTTCATGAACAACAGTACGGTTTCACCAAAGGGCGTTGTACAACTGACGCCGGTGTCTCCCTAATCAAGAACATTTTTAACGCTTGGGAGGAAGCACAAGATGCCATTGGAATCTTTTGCGACCTTTCGAAGGCGTTCGATTGCGTAAACCATGAGACTCTTCTGCTGAAACTTAATCACTACGGGATTAAGAACAAAGCTCTGGACTTACTAAGATCTTTCTTGAAAAACAGACAGGTTAAAGTTCAGGTTAACGGCATAAACTCGTTAGGGTCTGAAATTACAATGGGCGTTCCTCAAGGTTCAATATTGGGTCCATTCCTCTTTTTAGTATACATAAATGATTTACCCCAATTAGTTCAGAATAAACCGAAGATGGTGTTATTTGCAGATGACACATCATTGATTTTTAAAGTAGATCGACGGTTACAAAATCGTGACGACGTGAATAACTCTATTCTTCGGGTCCAAAATTGGTTTACGGTAAACAATTTGGCACTGAATGATAAAAAAACTAAATGTATTAGATTTACGTTGCCAAATGTTAAAAGTAAGGAATGTGACATAATGTTGAATGAAGGAAAACTGGAATTTATTAATCAAACGGTTTTCCTAGGCATCACGCTAGACGAGAAGTTACAATGGGGACCTCATATCACATCTCTTGCGGGGCGGCTGAGCTCAGCCGTTTATGCGGTTAGAAAGAGAAGATATTTAACCAATGTAGAAACTGCGCGTTTGGTCTATTTTAGCTACTTTCACAGCATAATGTCTTACGGCATTTTACTGTGGGGTCGGGCTGCTGACATAGAATCCATTTTTATTTTGCAAAAGAGAGCGGTCAGAGCCATTTATAATCTACGTCGTTGCGAATCTATCAGGGAACTATTTAAAAAGATTAATATTATGACAGTACCTTGCCAATTCATTTATGAAAATATTATGTATGTAAGAAAGAATCTACATCTTTTTAGTAAAATAAATGAAAGACATAATTTTAGTACTAGAAATAAAGATAAAATAGCTCAACCATCTTTCAGATTAGCCAAAGTTCAAAATTCATTTATGGGGTACTGTGTGAAATGTTACAATAAAATACCTTGTGACATTTTAAAACTAAATGAACGAAAATTTAAATGTTTTATTAAAAGTACACTTTGTAAACAAGCATATTACAAATTAGATGATTATATTCAAGATAAGAATGCTTGGAAACATGCTGGTCCTGCTCCATAGGACAATCCTATGATTGGCTCTATAGCCTGGACAAAATCAAATTGGTTGCTGATTTTTTGCTTTAACATATTTTTGTTATTATTATTATTATTTTTTTAATTTATATAATGCTACAAATGTAATTATTTTTTTTTGTATCTCACACACTGTTTTGTTGTGTTTTTTTAATATTTTTATTACTCTTTAATGTTAATATTCTAAGGTTTCGATATTTGTAAATATGTGAGGAACATGTATACTAACTTTTTTAGTATAGTAGTTTATTCTAAGAGTACATTGTCTTCACATATAATTATTTAACAAATGTAACAAAATATTGTAAACCTATTTTAAAAGAGTAAGTGTGGAGTTTCTTGCCCATTCTTCTCCACACGAAACTACCTTTTGGAAGGGGCAACTAGAATCATCTTTTTTTTTTTTTTTTGACGTTCAAAAGTGCCATTTTAGATGGTCTAATTGAAATAAACGATTTGACTTTGACTTTGACTTTGAAACGCTTCCATGTCAAAATGGAGGCGCCAGCCACCACGTAGAATGGTTCATTGGTGGAACGAGAATATTGCTTATTTACGTGAAATGTGCAACAGTGCTAGAAGAGCATATCTTCGCAATCGCCGAAGACATCGGCGTGATGCTGCTCAAGAACAACGACTTCACTCTCAATTTGTAGAACATAAGAAGGCCCTACAACTGGCTATTAGTCAGGCTAAGGATAAGGCACATAGTGAGTTTCTTGAAAGTCTCAATCAGGACCCATGGGGGCGCCCATACCGTCTTGTACGAAATAAATTGCAG